GCGGCGCGTCGTCGTATACCGGTTGCTGCTGCTGCCGCACACGATTATTCCCGGTCCCGACCCGATCGAAAAATGTGAAACCCGGCCCCTTTTTTCGTCTCTTGTGTTTCTCTGTTTTGCTTGTATTATCTATCTTGTTAGTTTAATTTTCTTTTCTACGAAAAGCTAACGTATGGTGTGTTTGTTTTGTTACTATATAGGTAATAAAGAGGATTAAAGTTAATATTAATATCACCGCATAATCCTAATTAACCGTGGGGACTAGAGATATGAACGCATCATTAATCTCTAGCGTATATTTATCACAGGAAGTTTGCGATATATGAAATTTCTATGTAGGATTACCCAAGATAACTACTCCTAGCTAGCTAATTTTAGTTACGAGAACGGAATTAATTAACTGTATACTCCTACCTACATTCCGAGTAATTATATCAAACATAGGGATCAATCGATATTGCCTCATAATTTCTAGCCATCCAACCAACATTATCCCTACAATCAAATTAAGCACACGCTAAAGGTTTATGCATGTTTGCTAAAAGAAGAATAATGCATATTCCAATTTCCAGTTAATTAAGCAACAACTACTAATGACAATCACTTTCCTTGCCGGTACATGACAAGAAGTGACATGGCATGCATGGGCAGAAGCAGTAGAGTTTGCCAGTTGTCCAAGTAACCAAGCTAGCTAGCAGAAGGTTTGTTACACTTTTGTTTGATGCGCTTTCCATGAACCACCGGCCGGCGGTACATACTGAGCCAAACCGAACCGATATAGATGTGACAGTGAAGCTCATGCTTTGGGCCATCTCGTCCATGCATGCTGCTAAACTAACCCTGACAGTTCACAGGTCACATACATGGCGTACGTCTCCATCTCGATATATCTGTGCCTGTCCGTCTACAGCAAAAGGATCGATCGATCGATGCCTATCGCCAGAAATATGCGCGCGAGTGATTCCTCTCATGGCATTCTCATGCGTGGTTTCTTCGAACCTTGTCATGACAAGAGGATTAAGGCTTCGTTCCGAATGGATGGTGCGCTAGCTATTGGGCTGGGATTTTCGTTGGCACGTAAAACGATACAAGTCATATTATATGATTAATCGGTTTATTGGGTAGAAAAAAATTTTATACAAAATAGGAGTAAACCTTAAACCGTTCGGAAAATGTGCTCACCGAGCACTACTACAGAATCTTTTTTTCATGCCGTCAAAACATGTCTTCTATGTGTCTGCGGATACACGGATTTTTCACATACGGATGGTCTAACCACGTGCGAAAACAAAATATCGCAAGCTACCCTCTTAAGGTGTCCACTTGCGAATATACATTATCGTAGTCAGTCACGTTAAGAGCCCCGCCTGTGATAATCATTTTCCCATATGGCCTACAATACATTGGCCATTTGGAAAATAGTGCCCACTACCTAATTAAATATTTTCTGTAATTTTTAATCAAATTTTAAAATGTTTTTTAAAATTTCTGTTTTATAGTGGTAATATTTTGCACTACACATAGGACCTATCCAAGAGGTCGTTCTTAGCAAATAGTAATGCATAGTAATTAAAATCCTGCATGCACAAATAAATATGTTTCAATATATAAAACAGAAAATATTTATATATTTGTACATATAAACATATGTTTGTGAACTATATTACAAATGATCGATCTCGTTTATGAAATAGTATATTTTCAGTTCACATATTCTATTCCCCGCTCTCGAAGGTGATTCATTTTGTCTTCTGCATTCAGTTGGCTCTCATTGTTGTAAAAAAAAGACCTAGTGCATTGCAACAGTCATGGCAGATGAAGTAACACAAGCCAATGCGAATGTTCCAAACCGTTGCCATGTTGAACTTGTTTGCAACATAAGGGATTTGATGAATTTGCTAAAAACTAACAATACATGTTAGGAAATGAACTACGGATGAAATACTCTGTATAGAGAATAATCTCGGGACTTACATTATCAGGGTTTGATTTGTACTTCTCATTGACCCTAAGCATCTTGCACACATAATATATACATAGTACATAGTAGGGTGCTTGGGGGTTGTTTGAAACACTGCGAACATAATAATAACATTGCTCGGTACAAATAAGTAATCATTTGAAAATTTCTTGTACATGTCATGTGTAAGTACCAGCCAACCCGTTTTGATGTATAGCTTTGGCTTTTGCTCCTTTATTGCCATTCCTTCTTTAACGTATATCCTATGTGCATCGTGCCGATAAAATTATTTCTTGTTGAGTTACTTCAAAATTTTCAGAATAACATTAAGGTACTCAGGGGGTATTTACTTCCAAAGTCAAAATAGTAAGGAACTCTATGTAGCTATTCTTGTTATAGTTTGATGGGTCGAGCACTATGACCAAGTAAAAACACCACCAGATATACTAGAAATAAAATGTAGTGGTCACTGCAAATAAGATAGATGAATTAGAGGCGATATTTGCTAGTAATTATGTAGTATTGAACACTAACCACGTAATGAAATAGAAGAGTTGCTGCTTACTTAAAGTTGTATGGGAAAATTATGACATCTTTTGTCTTGGTGTGAGCGCATTGCTCGTTCCAAGTATACCACTACCTCGTACTTCTTTCGCTTGTGCATTTTTTTGATATATGATTCCTTTTCCTTGGCTATCTTACCTTTAGTTCCATGCAATTCACATGCAGCTCTATAGTATGTTGCGTCTTGCAAATCTTAATTAGTTGGGTTGACATAGCCAACCGGTTGCCTCGTCCTATAGAATACAACTTAAATCAACGGACATTTGTTTCCTACATTTATGTGGAACATACAAGAGTAAACACTTACAAACAAAATGTGGTAGCGAGATTGACATCCATTTTCTCTAGTTTGAACAATGCATGTAGGTGACACAAATCGATTATGAATATCCTATTGAGTCCACACATGAAAGCATCAAGCGGGACCTTGACACTAATAAAACCGAGGCCCTTTCTAAATGCCTTCATATAAAATTCATGTAGCGTCCTCATCTATCATGGTAGTTCCTCTAAAAGGTGCCACGGTAAGAATGACTTATCATATTTATAATCTCTCCAAATCCTCCTTGGCCCATGCGAATGCCATTACGGACCGCCTGGAGCCTGGAGGGAGCCTCATCCACAAAAATCCATTCTGTATTAGTGGAGAATGATGCAATAGCCGCCCCAAGTAGTTGTTCATACAATGCAACCTCAGTAAGCTAGCATGAAATACAACTATTAGTCATGCTTAAGATTTATAGCAGTATATTTCCCCCTTTTTTACGTTAATGATACAAGTTATTGCCTATGTTCAAAATTATATAATGCAGTTGAATTTTTTTAACTATTCGTGTTTTAAAGGAATATCTAAACTCATTTACTTTAATTGTAAGATAGAAATAGAATTCCATTAAACTATACGATCGACACGATAAATCACTTGCCACCAGATCGAATAGAAAGTTCAGGTTTCGTTCAATCAAAACATAAGAGCGAGTACAATAAGACGATGTAAACGGGTTATACAAGTCCTTAGGAGTGGACCTAGGCCCCGGACCACCCAGGCTGCCATCCGAGGCGTGAAGGTCTCATTTAAACCCATCTAGTTTCATCATGTATTAGATGTTTGGGCTAAAATCACTATGGGCTGGGCGGGACCCGTCCAAAGTCCAGGTCCATCCATACATACAACGTCCTTGTCCGCCCTTAAATAACAGTAAATAACTCTAGTATTTCACAAGTAGTAACATCTTCTCCAAATAACCATCAAAAGTTATACACCCTTTTGACCATACACAACAGTTTAACCCATCTCCGGAATAGTTTACTTTTGAAAAGTTAGAAATGAAGTTTCATGAAGCTATATGACACAATAAACCACCTTAATTTTACAAGATCAAATGAAGTTTCATTTAAGTTAAAACCTATCGCCATCATAGACTCGAGCTAAAACAAGCTAAATAATGGACCAATTCACTATTGCATACATGTTGACACACCGATAACAAAACATATTTCAGAAAAAACTACAATTACACGAAGTACATATTCAACAATAAAAGATATATAATATAAAAATGTAAAATTAAAAACAAGCTATCTATAATTATAAACTCACTTTTTTTTGCTATTGGTCCCCACAACAATCACATACATTACGACATCACACACCCAACGCAAGGTGCCAAACCCTTTTAACAGAAGGAAGACGTAACAGATAGCCGCGCTCCGCAGTTCCATCTCCCATGACACGTCTCACGCCAGCGACACGCTCGTCCTGAAAAAGGCCAGCAAATCCTCCACCCCCACATCATCCCATGCATAGGCATGCGTGCGGCTGTAACAGCGAGAACTGCATGTGCCAACGCTGGCCGGGGAAGTGCTGATCACTTGACTTGTAGTCCCCATCAACACTACCAGCCCAAACATGGCAAGACACACGATGCTCCTGCCCGTACTTAAATGACGGTTAAACCGCTCCAGCATTTCGCAAGTAACATATTTTCCCCCGGTAACCATCAAAAAGTTTTACATCCCTTTTACTATACAAGACGATTCAGCCCCCGTCTCTAGAATGGTTTACTTTTGGGATCTAGAAATGAAGTTTCATAGGTTATATGACACGACCAAATACTTGTTACTATATTAAATGTATATTAAATACAAGATATGGGTTTTCGTGTAAGTCAAAATATATCACCTTCATACACTACAGCCAAACCAAAATCGACCAATCTATTATTACATATTTTGTGGACACATAGATAAAAAAATATATATATTAAAAAATTACAATTACAACATGTACACATTTAATAATAAAAATATATGTATATATAAGTAAAAGGAAAAGAAATCTACTCTCACTATAAACCTATAAACCTATGTATCACTGCCGGTCCTCACACACGACACACCTAAACAGATCAACACGATAAAAAGATCCCACAACACACGCACACCACGACTTCCGTTTCTTTGAGAGAAAGAAGACGTAACAGCCAGCAGCGCAGCCGCGCGCGCTCCAGTTCCACTTCCAACGACACGTCCCGAAAAGGCCCAGCAAATCCCCTCCCCCCGCACACACACACACCCACATCACCCCCCGTACATGCGCGAGCGTGCGCCCGTAACGGCGGGGATGAGAACCGCATGCTCCAACACCGGACTCCGACGAGGAAAGAGAGAGAGAGAGAGCGAGGAGTTGGAGCTCGTCCCCATCCAACCGTGCGTGCGTGCCGCCCGCGCGCGCGCCTGGCGGTTGGTGGACCACGACCTCGATCGTCCCGTGTCGTCCAACGCAACGCATGCGGGGGAATGGAAAAACCACCGCGAAAACGCCCAAGAAAACCTCGCGCCGGAAACGCCTCTCGCGCGCCCCCGCCCCCGCCCCGTCCACCTAACGCGAACAGACGACGCACGCGCCGCGGGCTTTATATCCTCCCGCGAGCGCGAGTCCCCATCGCGCGGCCGTCGCCGATCGACGAGATGCTGATTCACGGGGAGGGCTCGTCGTCGTCGGCGGCGGCGGCGGGGGGGAAGATCAAGGGGTCGTGGAGCCCGGAGGAGGACGAGCAGCTGAGAGGGGCGGTGGCGAGGCACGGGCCGAGGAACTGGACGGCGATCAGCGAGGAGGTGCCCGGGAGGTCGGGGAAGTCGTGCCGGCTGCGGTGGTGCAACCAGCTCAGCCCCGGGGTGCACCGCCGCCCCTTCACCCCCGACGAGGACGCGCTCATCGTCGCCGCCCACGCCAAGTACGGCAACAAGTGGGCCACCATCGCGCGCCTCCTCGACGGCCGCACCGACAACTCCGTCAAGAACCACTGGAACTCCTCGCTCCGCCGCAACCGCAGGGCCGCCGCCGCGGCCGCCGCGGCGGCTGCATCCGTGTCGTACCAGTCCATGGATCTCACCGAGGAGGCCGACAACGACGACGAGGGCACCAGCGACGACTCGGTGGCGATCCCTGCGCAGTCGTCGCCGGCGGCGGTCGTCGCTGGTGTCCCTGTGCTTCCGCCGCCGCCGCCCCCGGCCAAGAGGCTGTGCGTGGCGCCGCCCACCGGCGTGGAGCACCGGGCTCCGCCGCCCGACCCGCCTACGTCGCTGTCGCTCAGCCCGCCGGGCGCCGCCGCCGCCGCCATCTCAGCCTCCACCGTGGTCGGCGGGTCGTCGGCGGCGCGCGCGGAGGAGGAGGCCGTGGCGAGGGAGAAGGCGAGGATGGAGCAGGACCCGTGGCTGATGGCGATGATGCGGCAGATGATCACCGAGGAGGTGCAGCGGCAGGTGAGCGTGGTGTACTCGCTGGTGGCATCCTCCGCGGCGATGGCGGCACAGACGGGCAACGCCGGCGGCGTCGGCCGGAAAGGGCCCGACGGCCGCCCATCCAACGGTCAGGATTGATTGATCAACCGATCATAGATCTCTAATCTTGATTCATCTTCTTGTAGTTGTTGCATTGCATTTACATTGCAAAGCCTTTTCCATTTCCAACTCAAAACAAACTTGTTGCTGTTGGTTAGTTCATCAATTACTCCATTTCCATCCTTTTGTTACTCAAATAATAATATATAGTTTATTAGCTTAGTTAGCTTATTAATCTCATGTAATTACTTGAGAATTTTGTAAGGCTCGGTTTTTTTTTTCTCGTGTGATTAAATTAGTTAGAGCCGGTTTGATGTGGGTATTGAGCCGTTTGGTTTTTCAGTTGGGCGGTTCAGGTTTGGTTGGGTGGATAGTACTCCTGTGTATCATCCCTTCCTTGAACAAAGGCGTTGTGCGTGCGTGCATTCAGTGGCAGCGGCGTTTCCCAACTGAACCGAAACCTCGTCGCGCGCGCAGCACTCGCCGTTATCATTTCGTTTCGTTCATCACATTCTTTTTTTTTCCCGGCAATAATATGTAGGAGTACCGCTTTAAGGGTCGTTTCGTTTGGTTTGAAGGATTTTGTTGGAGAAATAGACGATCAGATTCCTATAGAAATTCACACTATTCGTTTAGGGAGAACTGGAGAAAATTCTCCTTTGCCATAGATTCCAATTGAAAAACAGGAAAATTGTTTTAAACCCTTGAGTACTTGTCTGAAAATCATTCAAGTAGTTATGAAAAAAATCTAAAAAAAAGACTGACAATAGTCATACAATGTATATATATACTCCTTCCGTCCCATAATATAAGAGATTTTATCCCTTCTACTAGTCTCATAATATAAGAGATTTTGCTTCACTGCTTGTCACATCCATCAATTCTAATTTAAATTTCTACCTATTTTAACCCTCAACTACCCAGTCACCACAACCAGAATCACATTTAATATGGGTATTGTAGTCTTTTCTTCTCATCCTTAATCTTTCCCAAAAGAGAATAATCCCTTATATTATTATGGGTGTGTTTAGTTCACGCCAAAATTGAAAGTTTGGTTGAAATTGGAACGATGTGACGAAAAAGTTTTAAGGTTATGTGTGTAGGAAAGTTTTGATGTGATGGAAAAGTTGAAAGTTTGAAGAAAAAGTTTGGAACTAAACAAGGTGATAGTGCTCCACAAAATCTTATAGGTCCAAACTTACACATTGATACACGAAAAGAAAAACAAATTCAGCAAATGAATAGTAGTACTATTTATATTCGAATTTGTCTTTTTTTTATCATTGTTTAGATTGAATTTGAACTTGGTTTTTTCGCGGAGTGCTAGACGTTACTACACTCTACATTGTCAATTTTTTTAAAAAAATAACTATTTGCATTGAATTTAAAAGAAAATGGTACACAAGAAGACATGTCCTCAAGAGAATAGAATCCATTACTAGAAAAAAGTTTAAATTTCAACATCTATTAGAGCATCTCCAGCGGTCTCTCCAAATGCCTCTCCAAGCTAAATTTTAGCAAGTCAAGCAAAAAGGAATACTCCAATAGAGTTGCTAACCGGATGGCTAAGCCATTCGACTGGCCAAACGTCCCCACTGCCTGGCCAAATGTGGAGAGGCAAACTCACTGGCCAAATGGCGGGCCCCACACCACTTTGTGTCTCCGCCTCCTCATCCGAGCACAGCAAAGGCATCGGTTTGGAGCAGCGGCGGCGGACAGGGATGGAGCTGAGGATCCACCGTTGGCATTGGCGTCGCCACTACATCTCGATGGTGTGAGCAGCAGTAGTAACAACGTCGTTGTCATCGCCGATTTCTGCCGTAGTTGCCAATTTCCACTGCCACCTCCGCCGCCGTCAGATCCACCCGCCCGCCCACCCGCTGCCTCCCTTGTCGGCGTGAGTAGCCGCAGCCCACGGCATCGCCTCCGCCTCTCATTAGTGCGAGCAGCAGCAACGTTGTCACCGTTGCCGCCGATTTCCGTCGCCGCCAACACCTTCGTCAGATTTGCCTACCTGCCCGCCCACCGACGGCACGGGGGAATCGATGAGGGACGTTCACGTCGCCGCTTCCCACCCATGTCGCCGGCTGCCGCCTGGATCCGCTTGCCGCCATCGAGCTCGTCAACCGCCAACTGTCGCCTGCTCTCCCATGCTGTCTTGGAGCGTCGGTGATAGGTGAGGGGAGAGGTTGTGCAAAGAAGGGAGAAAAAAAGGAGATAGGGCTGATGTGTGTATCCCATTGCTAGAATGGAGAGAATGTTGGAGTGAAAGGCAAATTTGGCTCACTAATTTTTTAGATGACTGGCCAAATGAGCATTTTGAGAGCTCAAAATAGTCAATCGGTTGGAGATGCTCTTGCAACCTACTCTCTCTGTCCCAAAAAGAATTCAATCTGAACAGAGGGAGTATTTATTATTTTCCTTTGCCAAATCTAAAATAAACCAATGCTCGAAGCTACAAACATCACATCCCACCTCCCCATATTTTTAAACCCTCTTTTTTTTTCATATGCGTTTCTATACTATTCCTAATTTTTTATAAATCCTATGTTCCAAAAGTGCCCATAGTGATTAGGATCCTACCTTCAAAACCCATATGTCTCTAACGTTGAAGGTATAGGATATTAGGATCCTGTCCCATAGGATATTAGGATCCTGTCCCAATGTCCTCACCATTATGTCTAAGTATTTTGCTATGTTTTTATTTTGTAATGGCATTTCTTTTTTTTCCCTCATTTTACTTGTTCATTGTATTTGTAATAAGTTTTTTTACTCTTATCCAAATTTTTATGACAATGGGTTACAACATTGCTAGAATTTTTATTTTTCTAAAATATGCCATGTCTTAACTTGACCACATTCTAGTTTCTATTTTAATAGGCTATATATATGTTCGGTTACTGTTTTTTTTTCAATCAATTTATTCTAGTTTCTATGGAGAGTTTAGTTCCAAACTTTTTCTTTGAACTTTCAACTTTTTCATCACATCAAAACTTTCCTACACACACAAACTTCTAACTTTTCCATTACATCGTTCCAATTTTAACCAAACTTCCAATTTTAGCGTGAACTAAACACACCCTATGAGAATAGGTTGGGCTGCTGCCTATTTCAATCTGTCAATTTTGACTTTTTTGAGTTAGTGGTAGTGGTGGTTCACACTTCACCACCATTTCCGTTACAACTTGAAATGGAAGGGGAGGTTAGGTTAGGTGGGTGTGCTCCGTTATCGCTTAGTCGCTTGTCTCCTCGGAACCAATATTTCGTTAACCTGTCTTCTGAAATTAATAGAAACGCTGCTAGCCACACTTAGCAATCATATCAGTTGAGCTTGTTACCCTTGTTTGAAGTCTTGATAGTGACCAGCGTTACGATTGATTCTTAGACTATGGACATACTTCCTAACATCTTATGCAAAGCCATTGGACTAGAATTGAGAAGCATATGTTGATCTTAAATGTGTGACAATTTACCGTCAGAAACCGTGTGGTTACCTTGGTGACTACTGACTAGGCTTATTGCCAAGGCACAACAACCGAAACCGACCGATATATCGACAAAGTTAAAAAAACAAAAATTAGAATTTTTTTTCATGTTTTCCTCGCTCGGTAACCACAATTACTAATATTACCATTGGGGAGGAGCAACAACCCCCCCCCCCCCCCCTCCCCCCTCCTTCACTCTCGTTTTGAAGCCATAGCTAGCACCATCGGCCTATTGTGTTGAGTTGTGATTCAAATTCATTTACACTTAATAAAGGCCAGCTTCTGCCGGAGCGAAATGGAGACTGAAGCTGGGCCATTGGTTGTGCATCTGGGGACGTCCGGGGGTGGGGGGCGGAGCCCCCGCTGTACGGATCGTAATACCTTTTAGGGTTTCATCTCATATATATATATATATATATATATATATATACACCTCTTGTAAGCCGCCGTGCGGCGTTGTAACCTCACCCCGATATAGTAAAGATATTTTGCTGGCTGACGCCCGTGGTTTTTTCTCTCCTACTTTGAGAGGGTTTTCCACGTTAAATCTTGTGTCTTCAGTGATTAATCTATTGTTATTTATCGTTTGTTTGCCTATCAATTCCTAACATATAACATATTGGACACCCCCAATGCATGGTCGTGTATATTCTTCTTCCGTGTAACCATATAGAAATGAAAAACATGCTACCTATGTACTCGCACATATATCACCTGAATATGGTACCATGATCAGATATATCGCTTGAATATGCTACCATCAAACACGAGACAATGACTGATCAATTTTGTACGTGGGAGTGGGATACCCCACAAGACTTGAGAGGCATGCAAAACGTGGTTTCAAATTGGGATGGGGAAGAGGGTGCCTGACAGGCAGCAACGAAATCGTGCGCCAACTGTTGTGGGAAACCGCAGCTAACAGGTGACGAGTAAATTAAAGCTATAACTGGCGTGGTTTTATTTCAGCATTAGGGATGATGATCATATATGTACAGCCTTTTGAGTACACATTTCTCTGGATAAATGAAGCAATTAAGCCACTCTACCTCGTACCGTACCAAAATAGATATGTACACCACAGAGTAACATACGGCACAAGGTAGGGAGGCATAAGTACACGCTGATACAGAGAGGAAGTGGGAGAGTGGAATGTGAAGAGGTCTCTATAAACTTTACCAAAACTACCTGGAGCCTATCTGGCCTTGTGTTAAACTTGCTGGGGTTGGTGGTTATCTTGAGAAAATCACCTGTTACCTGTGCACTATAGGAAGCTTTCTATGGGGGGCCCGTAGATAAACAAGCTACGGTTATATCATGAGATTAATCTCATTGATGTCGTCCATGGGGATCTCCAGGCCCATCAAGTCTAGATCCTGGAGTCCGTCGTCGTCTTCTATATTCAACCAGCCGCCGAAATCAACATCCATTCCTGGGAGCTCCAGGTTTGACAAGTCCGGCATTTCTGCGTCATTCGATGCATTTGCTGGTTCCTCATGCCTAGCACTAGCAGCAGAGGTATTGTCCCTGCCGTTGCCAGAAGGCGTTATTTTGGCCTGCGACTGTGGATCCCTAGTTAGAGCGCTGCTGACAGGAGCAGATATGTTGGCTGTCTTCTGTTTGGGTTTTGTTTTATTCTTCCTTTCTCCTTTTGCATTGGATGATGACGGGCGCCCAGATCTGCTACCATCTCGGTTGTGCCCCTTCCCTTCCCTCTCGCTTCTCTTTCCTTTTGTGTTGCTCACAAGGGAAGTACCAAGGCCAGACGTTTTCAGGGTTCCTCCTGTTATGCTACCTACAACTTCATCAAGCAACAATTCCCGTTGTTTTACATTATTTGTCCAGGGATCCTCCTTCGAAAATGACAGATCCGTAAGGTGACTGCTTGCTCGAGAGGCATCTGATGTACTAGCCCTTTGGACTGATTTTGGTACCGTAATATTGTCTGAAAATGAAATGAGAGTCAGATCAGTAGTGTAAATATCGAAGACAAGGCAAAACAAGAATATATATAAACGAATTTTATAACTTCCCAAACAAGTATGGCTTAGAAAGATGCATGCTCGGTAGATCACAAAAGGCACAAAAATATTATCTGGGGGACCATAATACCTTGTGAAGCAGAATCTGGGTCGCTTCTGTGAGAAGTTGCTGATACAAACATATCCTTGAAAGGGGTCTCATCAAAGCAGCAAGCTCCTGACTCCTCATAGTTCTGGCAACGTGCTATTGTTCGTTTAACAAAACTTAGAGCAGCATGTTTGCCAGCTCTATTTACATTTTTGCTACTTGAAGAACCACAGAAGGCCTGTAGTTTCACAGTAACAACAATCAATTATTTAATAAGTATCAAAAAATAGTGAACTTAAAGTCCACAAAGCAAACAAGGTCATCAACAGAGTAACATATCAATTGGCCAACAGAAACATAGTTGCCAGACAATGCAAGACTACATGAACTTAAAGCACTGGTCAGTGTGATAAATTCAAAATATGAAATGATTTACCACGTAGAGGGAGTCAAGTTTCATCTCAAAAAAAAAAAAAAAAAACAGAGAAGGGACTCCAATTAGGTTAAAAAGCTACTGCAAAGTCACCATAACTGCAACAACATTATAATGGGAAATTTCAGCTGTTGCCACTAGTGAGTGTCCACTTCTACATATGCTACTAATTTTTGCACCGTCTCAAATTTTATTTTCAACATCCAACTGTTAGAATACTTCTAAAAATGTCACCATCGCCCCAATGTCTGGTTAACAACAGCAATTAATAGCTGGCCAATAAAACTGCCAGCTTGGCAATTTCGATGACATGGAATAGAAAGGGGGAAGAGACAGGAGGGACTGTCTCTCTGCAAACATCGATGCGAGGCACAATACACGAGGGAGGAACCCACTTCGAGGAGAAAATAGGTGTATCCATGATGCTGATGATAAGATTGAGGCCCATTAAAATGAATAAAATATAATAAGTATTAATTGGTAGAGACCCAACTGTTGTATGAATTATTTTAGATGGCAGGGGCTCTTGATGACATGGAAGACGAGAGGAGTCATTAGCAAATAATTATTTGAGTATTAATTATTTTAAACTTGAAAAGGGATTAAATATGATTTTTTAAAGCAACTTTCCTATAGATTTTTTTTTTTGGCAAAAAATACACCGATTAACAGTTCGGAAAGCATGCGCGGGGCAAACGTTGGAGTTTTCTTCTCAATCTCCTCATGGCGAACACAGCCCTGGTGATTGTGCTCAGTTCAACTGATGGACATGCCCTAATGCCCCTTAGACCTAATACATGTCATGCAAGGAGGGCATGGTAGTGGCTGATGGCTCCTGTCATGTCACCTCCCTTGACCTTTATGATTTCTACTTTTCAAGATGAGGTTATGAGTGGAACTACCACATATGACATGCTTCATGATTTCAAGATGAGATTAGAGTTGAACTACCAAATATGAAACGTATTAGATGAGGTCATGTCAATACATGCGGTAGCTCAATTCATAACCCCTGGAGAGTAATTTGAGTTGCACCTTTTCAGATGAGGTTAGAGGCAGGCTAAGGGTGTGTTCTTTTCTCCCCTTTCCCAACTTCTACTTCCTCCTTTTTCGCGCATACGCTTCCCAAACTGCTAAACAGTGCAGTTTTTTGCAAAACAAATTCTATAGGGAAGTTGTATTAAAAAATCACATTAATCCATTTTTCAAGATTTTTTTAGCTAGTACTTAATTAATCATGCACTAATGAGCCACCTCATTTTCCGTGCGGGGAGAAGTTCCAAACTCCTCCCAAATGCACCCTAAGGCTGCGTTCTCTTCTTCAACTCTAAACTGCAACTTCCACGTTTTCGGTTAGCACGCTTTCGAAACTACTAAACGGTGCGCTTTTTGAAAAATAAAAAAAGGAATATATAGAAGTTTCTTTCAGAAATCAATAAACCCAATTTTTAAGTTTGTTATAGTTGATACTCAATTAATCAAGCGGTAATGGATTACCTCGTTTTACGTGTCACCGAAAAGCTAAACCAAGTTGCAGATTCAAACTAGGCATAAGGCTAACTCTAAGCAGTGTACAAGTGTCTAATAGTATTTGATGCAAGCACTTCCCACTTGCCAGGCATGAATTGGAGGATGGGAGTCATACAAGTTATATGCATGTGCTAAATTGTCAGTGAAAATACAGAATGCAATACTATTGTGACGGAGCCACAGCACGGAAATTTTTGTCCCACGGATTAATAACTCTTAGAATGGCCCTCCGTCCCAAAATAAGTTCATTTTTCAACCATCCCACACATACCAATACAAAACTAAAAAGACTAGAAAACACCCCACTTTATCAAATCCTAATGCAATTATTACTCTCTTTATATAGTCCCAATGCATTTATACACTACTTTCACAATGCAATGATTGTTCACAACCGAGCTTATTTTGGGACAAATGGGAGGGACCAAAAATGAACTTACTCTAGGACGGAGGGAGTAATACATAATTGCTCATACAACTAAATTCGATTATTTACCTATGTATTTGACACTGAACAATTTGCAATTTATATCGAAAGACGATGAAAGATAGAAACAGGAGTTTTAAAACTCGACATTATACATTCGACGGATAAATAGAAATCATTACTAATAAAAAAAAAGAAAATTCACAATATAGACATGAAGCCTCAAATAGCGAACATTAGCAGGCTTAATCAGAGTTAGATTGTTAAGGCTGTGTTGGCAACTAGGAAAACTACATAGTAGACACTGCACCTTAGCTATTGACCCAACCCAACAAATAAAACAAGAAACATCAATCAGCATGTATTTCTCGCCCAGAAGACTTACCATGTATTTCTCATACGCTATCAGCAAAAGCCTTTCCATGGCACGCCGTGAAAATTCCCTGGTTACAGGGTAACCACATAGATGTAAGGGCTTGAATCTCAAGAAATAGTTTCCCAACAAAACAATGATGTGAAATACCTGTGCTGTGACTCCTTTTTAGTTCTAAGAATGCCATCCAGCTTCCGTAGCAAGTTTTTCTTATCTACAACCTTTCACATCATAAAAACACTAAGATTAATTTTCACATCACTCCCTTCAGTCATCACAAAAGAATGATGCTGTTGGCTTTCCAAAGTCAAGAAAATGCAACATTGACCAGTGAAATTTATTGTGTAATACAATGAGTGTTCTCTTTTTGACAAATTTATTCATGTTATTTCACTTATCCAGATAGACCAAAAGGCACATTATAGAATCTTTCACTGCAAATGTGCTCTAAGGTTTCTTCACCCTCTTGTGACAGGAGCATGTGACAGGTACTAATCAGATATTGAAAATAGTGAAATAGATCAAGGAGCATGCACATGCATCCAGCCGCACATAGTGAATATAAGTAGTACCTCTTTATGAAGTTGGCCTTCTAATTTGCAGATTTCGGAATTGATATCTTCATCTTCACTCTGGGCAAGATCAGGCTGGCACAATAGCAGTGTAGCACAATAAGAGCTAAAACATTATGAAAACTTTGATGTGCTATTTAATGAAACATTGAGATGTTGCAGGTTAAGATTCAAAGTTTATATGGTACTCCTAAGAACCAAATGTTTCAAAGAAAATACTCATGATGAAGCTTCTTGGAGATAACTGACATAAAACTATTCTTATCATGTGCTTAGGGATGTAGTGCAACATATATGATCCATTTTAATTCACAAAACTGACAGAAATTGTGTACATCTTAAGAGGACATAGATAAATATGGAATTAAGAATTTCAGCTTGTAGTCATGAGCCAGTATTGCACAATAGTTTGTCATCCCTATATATAGAACTAAACCCAAATGGCCAATACCCATATTTAAACACTAAGACAACTATATCTAGCATTTATTTGTCATCCCCTATTCATATTCTTATTTGGATCGTGTACTCGTGCTACCAAATATAATATGGTTGTAGACTATATCAGGTCAGTATCCAATTTCTCCAAGCATTTTAACAATCACAGGAAAATCAGAGCCCATAAAAAGCAACAAACTACCTAAATAATGACAAGAAACCTGAAGTTTTAAATCTTTTGGACTATTTATATACTCCATAATCCATGATAGAAGAATTAGTATCAGCCTCTTCTGATAATCTCCAAGTTATTACCCAATTGGTTATTGCCCAAAAGCAACAGATTAAAATAAAATAATAAACTGTAACAAACCATGCATAGAAATGCAAAAAAAATAGTTTAACTCAAGCAACGCGAAATTCTATACCAGCCTAACAAAAAAAATTGTTGTACAGAATGATACAGTTGAACAGTGAAACAACACATACCACGGGTTCAATGGATACACCAACTTCACTTAGCTCAATGATGATCCTATCACTGAAGCACATCTCACTGTACTGAAACTCAGGCCACACCTTGGCCTTCTCCATGGCATTATTGCCTTTATGTGATAGTTCATCATGATATTTCCAATCAGAATCTAACATCAAACCATTAGAACCTTTCCCTGCAGCTTCAAAGTTCATTAAAGACTCCAACTTATAACCCTGTGAATGCGATTTCCATCCTCCTTCCTCGAAATGAATTTCATGTGTATCAAATGGATATGTTTCACTTCTGTAAATGTTGTTGGTAATATTATCAACCTTGTCTTCATCAATCAGAGCTTGCATAAGTCTTTGGCCAACTGATGCACCTCCTCGCGCCCCAATTCCTTGGACAAGTTGATCCAGGATAGGTTCAATGCAGCTTGTCTCCCATGCAATCCCTACATCATTATCTATCTCATTCAGGGTATACCCATTTTGAAGAGCGCTATGGTCATCTTTGTTGCTACCAGCCGGAGTTGATGGTTGCGAGATGTATTCAAGACTACCCTGCAAAAGCCAAAAATATCAGCATAATAAACTGAACCCAAAGAAAGAAGCAGATAGAAGTAGAAGAAAATAAGTAGTTATCCATGGTAAAGTGAGCATCAAGCCATCAACCACCCCATGCATTCTACTACTTCTATACAGTTTAACTATCTGCAACTGCATAACTAAGCAGACAAACTTCAGATATTCCTGCAGTAAAGGTGCTTAAAAGTAATATAAAGTACCTTGTACTTCCGACTTTCATCACCTTCAATTGACCTGCTCGCGGTGGAGTCATCCGATAAATGGATCTAAGCAAATGAAATATTGATCAAAAACTACCAACCGCTCTACTGCAGAGAAAATTAGTACATCTTCTGATACAAAATAAGATGACCCTGCAATACCTGCTGACTTAAATAGGCTATATCTTCTGTTGTCAGATAACTAAAGAATGGTTCAACCTGCCGCCAGAATGGACTTGAATTAGCAGATCCTGTAATAAACCAATCATTATTCAAATAGTTCCAGAAAAATATATCTAGATAAATGGAAGGATGTCACAAGTGAAACCAATACTTAGAGCAGAATTTGCTGCAGCAAGGAGCTCCTCATGATCATCTTCCGATTGCACTGAAATGTTAACAGTATGAAATCATCATGATCACAAAGAATGGAAGCCATGTACATAATAGTACGGCAAGAACTTACCAGGAGAGTCTAACTGCGCATTGCTACTTATATGTCTAGGACGTGCATTGCCTTTGCGCTCCGACATCTTCTTTATCAGTGGTCTTCCAGATTTACTGAACAAAATAATCACAGTAAGAAAAAATGACAAGTTGATTGGAATGCTGGTAATTGAAGAAATCACCTTTCATTTCTCTCAGTGACTGTCCTAACACTTCTTTGTTTTGTAGTTGGAGCATTTTCAAGCTTGTCAATTGATGCAGGGGTGCTGGGCCTGGTTGGAGTAAAACCTCGTCCGATCCTTCCTTGTCTTCGTGCAGCATCTCCAACATCATCATCAGCAGATAACTTATTCCTTTTGGAAGGATGGCCAAGCATTGCGATCTTTTGAAAACCAGAGTGCCCGTCATCTAGTTCCCCAGCCCTTTTGCTTTTGTCCCTTAACTTTTTCTCAGCAACACCAGATTCATCACCCTCAGATCCAGTTGAAAGACCATGATCTCCCCGTCTAGTTTGTTGCGAACAATTTATAGAAGCACGCCTAGGTAATCCGGCAGACTCTTCATTGATAGAGGGACTTTCAAGCGAACCTGATACCGATTGACCATCAGTGTTTGTGATAATAGCGACTAAATTTGACTTTCTTGCTGAACGTGATATCTTCTGAGGCCTCTGCCCACCCCACTGGGTGGGAGGGGATAATGAATGTGTAGACTTTGTACGTTTGGGATTGCCAGATCCACTAGTAGAATTAAGCTTAGTCATGCCAGAAGGATGTTCCCAATCATCAGAATTAGCTTGCAACCTATGAATGTTTGGCGATGACTTCAGTAATGAACCAGAATTCGAACGGGGTCCCCTAGTAGACCCATTTGCCTTTGGTACTGCAGTGACATTGGCACCACCATCATCTTCGCTGGGCCTAAAAAAACTTGTAGAAATAAGCACATACTGTACAAATATTAAGTCTTCACATGCAGCAGGAAATTACTACCTAAGCTTATTGTGACAACTGGCAAGCAATGAATTTAGACAAGATTGTAACATAGTGAATTTGGAGAAAGAACGCATCTTACTTGTTATGAGATTTTGGAGCTGATATTTCCTTATCTAAAACAGCTTGACGATCCCTTTTGTTAGTAGGATGGAATCCACTGTCTTGATCACTCCTACTTAAGGATCGCCCAACCCCATTTTGTCCAGAAAGTAAATCTGATTTACTAATGCTCGAGACTGATGAGACAGTTCCAGACCTGCCCATATAAAAGTTACCCAGAAAGGAAACGCCTGGTCAGATTGTAAAACTTTATATACAAATCATTTTCTTATTAGCTGAATTGCTTAGTTTGAATGTTCGGAGAAAAAATAACTTGATAATATGTTTTTCAATCATCATGTCTATGCAATATGCAAGGTCAGATTGTCCATGATGTAAGATCAAACAGAATAAAGGACTGCATCAAAAGAGAATCAAAACAATAAAACATGCAGAAAAGGATGATAGAATCTCTGACCTAAAACTAGGGGAGTTTGTCATTCTTGCCCTAGCTTCATTATTAAATTTGTGTTGCATCCCTGGTTTCTGCTCCCGGTCTACATCAACATTTCTTGAAGGACCAGTCATTGAAACATCTGCCTTAATAGCAGAACGTTTTTTCTTCATCTTTGGCTTTTCCCAACCATCAATACCAGTTGCTAGCCCCCTAATTTTTTCTTCTGGAACTGCTGGACCACCACCGGTGACTTTGCCAGGATCTGCACTTCTATCAGTAGAGCCCAGTCCCCTTGACAGAACAGTGGTCCTTGCATCCATCTAGTAAACAAGTAATAAGTTGTGGTAATCAGTTTTAAGAACAATCCAAACTAGTAAAAGTTTTAAGAAATGGCAAACCATCATGATTATGTGCACAGTAAAAATGCTTATCATATTAAACATGCTAAAACTAATAGCTACAGGCTGCATGCTAAAACAAGAAAAACAGATGAATAAAACAAAGTCAACAATAAAGAAAAGCACAGATAAATACAGCAAGGCCAAAACAGGCCTATGGCTTAGCTGCAAGCAATACATACTACGTAAGATTCAATAATACTTTTTTACCTGAAAATTGTCAGAACTAACTTATTCAGAAGTATAACATCACATTATCGCAACAATAGTAACCTACAATGATACATAGAGATGTGAGCATAACCTCGGACATGGATGTGCGTAATCTCCTATTCTGTCCTGCATTCTTTATCCTCTCTTCTCCTCTCGGAGATACCAGTTCTGTGTCATCTGCATTTAGATGGCCTTGGGGGGGCATCTTGGATATAAGTCCTCCAGACAACAATGCAGTAGATCGTTCATTTGATGAACCATCTCCTCTGGAACGCTTCCGCAAAATATTCGGGCAACATCTCTCAATCTTTGTTACAGCAGCACCATAAGCTCTAGATCTTTCCCTGCAAAGATACTCATAATTGAAAACATGTTCTAACAGTTTCAAGCAAATGTAGTCCACATAGCCATCCATATGTACTGAGATTTTTTTCCCCCAATAATCTTCCCTTAGAAGGGTAAAATAAACATTATCAAAGAATAGTAAATCACAAATAAAAGTTGCCTCTACATATATAATACAGATGGTTGCTCAATCAAGTACGTAGTGATGCAGTTGTTTGCAACCCTATCGCACAACTTAAGTTAATCTCACAAGACAATGTAGAGAGTAGTAAAATAATACCTAGCTTTGTTTGAGATGTCACTAAGATTATTCTTCATGCGTCTAATCTCTTCAAAAGGAAGAGATGAGTTCCGTCCTGTGCATGGAGTTGATGTAGACTCTTCAGGGGAAATTCCAAGAATCAAACTTATTGATTTTTTTACATCCAACCGAGATGTCTTTGGCTCCAAAGTTGTTGTCCGCAAGTCCATGGCAAGTGATTGAAGCAGAGTAGCAGAGTCAACTGCTGGTGACCTTGATGAACCTGATACTGGGAATGCTGCATAACTATCGCCACTCTCACGAAAACTTGCTGACCTTTCCAACGAAGCAGCTGAATACAGTCCACGTTGCCCACTGAAGTATCCATGCCCATCAGGACTACCAGACATCAAGTCAGATTTTGTACTAGATGCCATCACCCTGCTGGTGACAAACTTTTAGACCGTTAACAAGTTCAACATGTCTCCAGAGGATGTCAACAGCCTCATCTTGCAACCATAGAACTCAAATGTCCAAGGCACAGTGGAAAATCTCAAATCAAACAAATACCTGTCATTATAGAAGGCACAGTAAGTAGCAGATGAACTTGAAATCAATTTTTCAGAACAATCCAGAGTTGTCTGTATGACCAGAGTACGTTGCAAAATAATAGCTTTTACCAAACAAAACATCTGGCTTTTAAAATTGTACCACCACTCTATTTCAATGTAAATGTTCGAGTACGTGATAACTTGTTTTGTTCATATTTTGCTATTAATACACCAAAAATTGTTTTCAGGTATTGATCAATTAACATAATTTGCAAAGACATCAAATGCATTCAGTAAACCAAATATACATAAATCAGGAAACAATTGAAGTTGCCAGATTCTACAGTGCACGTGTTACATTAATGCAATAACATTGTATTAATATATGCAACCAGCTCTACAACAGCAAAAGCAGCAACAGCATTTAGTCTCAAACAAGTTGCAATAAGCTAGGTGAAATGCGACAACCTCTATTCTTCCAAAATCTGATGAACTACGCGTGAATTACTAGAGGATATAAAGTTCGGCAAACATCTCAGTGAGATATCTACTTCATTGTCACCTTCCACCAAATCTGCTTAATCATGCCACAGATGACAACACATATGGCCGAGCAACGATCAACAAAGATACTAGCATCTCCTTCAGACTAGTTATAGCACCAAACAAGACCATTCGACCACCTCCATCGCCAACTGAAATGCACCCACAAATGACACATACTAGTATACTACCGTGCTACAACAGAAAAAGGACAGCAGTCCGAATTGATCCAAAGTTCTGGGAACAACCAATTCAAAGCCATGATCCATGGCACGACCAACAATAACCTAACAAAGCTACCAAAGCTCAAAATGAAGCAATCAGAATTGCTCTCCACTCATCAAACCAAGCGGCCACCACCACCAACTGTTACATCGCCCACAGAACGATCGAGAATTACCTAAATTCAAAGCAGAACCACGGCTCCACGGTGCAGCTACGAGACCCCTAGCACGACATGGCCGATCCACGCACACCATCGCCCCCTCCTCACGGATCTCACCCGGAGATCCAGCCAATTCCGGCACAACCCAGCACGCACCACGACCTCTCGCATAGGCACAGCCCTCCCCCAAATCCCCAAGCTTCCCCAGCCGGATCCCACGCCCAATCCCCGTGCGCGGATCAGCACCCCCCAACCTCGGGGACGGGGTGGCCCCCCCACACCCACCGCCACGCGGCGCCGCCAAATAGACCCCAAGCTCCCTTCCCCGAAGCTCCAGCAGCCGCCCCCACAAGCGCGAACACCGGAATCGGCCCGGCAAGCTCGGCCGAATCGGATTGGGGGCCGAAAGGGGAGAGGGGGGTTGATGGGGGGAAGAAGCTCTAGGGCTTACCGAGCGCGGCGGGGATCCGGATCTCCGGGCCCGGCGAGGGGGCGGCGATCGTCGGAGGCCGGCGGCGGATTCCGAGCTACCGGTAATGGAGGACGCGGAGGAGGAGGAGGTCGAGCCGGAGAGAGAGAGAGAGAAAGAGAAGCGAGCTTCGAGAAGCGTGGCTTCGGGGAAGGCGGAGGGAAGGTGGGGTCGGTCGCCGGTCGGTCTGAAAGCTCTGAACCGGAGGGGGGTGGAACCAGTCCAGTTAAGGGCGGTGGGTCCGTGCGGATGACAGGTGGGACCTGAGCCCGCGTGGCAGTGGCTGATTGGGCGGAGTTTCTTTTTTTCCCCTTCTCTCGCCTCCGCCGCGGCGGTGTATGTGTGTATTATCGGTGTAGAGCAAAGCGTGTACTCCTAGAGTATATAGCGTTAGCTGCGGTACGGTCCGGATTTAGGTTTCCCCTCTCTAGTTGGGGAAAAACACGAAACTCGTGAAAATCATATTAAAATTTTCATTAATTTTACGAATAAAATTACTGAAGATAGATGTAGATATAAAATATACGGTTACTAAATCTTTTAAATCTTTTGTCTAAACTCAACTTCATTTTGAAAGAAACAAAAACAACAAATTCCACATGGATAATGTCATGTTACTATTCACCTCAGATTTGTTTATTTACTCCCAAATAGCATGTCATAGTGCTAGATCCGCCTGACATAGCCTACGCAATAGTTAATACGTGATACAATTATAATATCAATAGTGACTAAATATCTTTGAATGAAAATATATTTTCTCTTAGAGGACACAAAAGACAAATATCAGGATGGACCCGAGTGACCAACTCAGTAGATAAAAGGTTTTGTCTTATAAACAAAAATTTTAATGGTTATATTTCCATGAAGTTGTAAAATACATGTTGTCTAAAAAGAAATGTTTCAATGAAGTTAGTCGATATTTATTGAAGTTGTTGTTTTCTATCATGATTGCATAAATGGATCACTAATACATTTTATTTGATTTATCAGGTTAATTTTCTACATGATTAATGAAATGCTTAATAAGGTCTTGAACAACAATGGCAGATGCAAGATATAGCAATGGCAACATGAATCTATGAAGGTAACTGAATGTGCAGAGATGTGAATAGGCTTTCCTGAAATTTTCTCAACAATCATAGCGGTTAAATTGGTAGGACCCGGAACCTCCTGGTGGTGAACACCGGAACTTCCGGGCAGGATGAGTATCCCGGAACTTCCGGAGTTCTTGAGTCAGGAACTTCCGGGCAACAAAAAAAACGAAACAGGGAAGTAAAACAGGTCCTAGCTAGAGACGATCAGGCACAGAGTTGCACAAGATGTAAATCTCAAGATACCAGCAGATTTAAACACAGATCATGCACAAGAGAGACAAAGGCGATTTTTTCCCGAAGTTCGGATCACACGGATCCTACTCTCCGTTGAGGTGCTCAAAAGAGCCGAGTCTCGATTAACCCCTTGCCTCACTTATGCAAAGATCCCAGAAGAAGTCCACATCCTTCAACTCAACACTTCTAGGTCATTTTCTAGAATTGAGTGACCACCAAGATCCAACTCACAATTCCTTTTAGAAAAGACCACAAGTGCAAGTTGCTCTACCTAGGACAACCTCTGAAAACTCAATACAAGAATCTTTACTCACTTACCTCATTTCCTTGCGGAGGTGAGGAAAACCTTCACAAACTTTCCCAGGACATCCACAAGATCTTTAGAAGCTCACGGGCGACACCTAACCATCTAGGAGAAGATCTCCAAGAGTAATAAGCCCAAGTGACAGCCCACAAGATATCCAAAGTGCTCAATCAAACCTAATCTTCAAGCCATCTCCAAAACGCTCCTACACTCTAATCTAATATCTCAATCTCACAAGATAGGCTCTAGATTTGAGTGGAGAAAGCAAAGGAAGCTTGGGAGTGGCTAGAAAACCCTAGAACATGAAAGAGCTGAAGTGGAATGGCCAAAGGGTGACCTGGGGACGAAATCCATATATATAACGGCTAGGTGACGTCATCTAGCCGTTACTCACAAATTTGAACTGGAAACCTGCTAGGAGGTTCTGGGCAAAAGTGCCAGGAACTTCCGGGCAGCACTTAGGAAATTTTTGCTTTTGCAATGGCGCCCGGAAGTTCCGGCCAAAACCTCCGGGTAGCCCTCTCTGTCCCGGGGAGAAAAATCATTTTGCAAAAATGATTCCAAAAATATTTTGACTCATGGAAATGACTAAGAGCACTTTGTATACCCTAGAACCACACTTGAAACCCCTCTTAATAGTACGGTTTTTCCTAAACTCAATTTCGAAAGAGAAAAACCTAGTCTAATCACCTTCGGTGTTTTTCGCACTTAGGAACATTCAAATTGGGGGGTCTCCTTGCATTCTTAGCCATCACAACTTGCTTTGGGACTAAACTCCTGTGAATAAACTTGATAAACATGTTAGTCCCCTTTAACCACCTTGTCATTAATCACCAAAACCCACTAGGGAGTTTAAGTGCACCTTCAGTAACAACTGCAAAACTTTACAATCAACTGAACAAATCTAAACCTAATATTTGGAAAATTCAGAAGTTACAAGGTTAAACATCACTCATGTACTTACGAATTAAAATTTTCAGGATAACATTTTTGTAGCATATGATCGCCTTTAGTTATAAAACATCACATGAAAGTACTCTTTGGACGTGAGGTGGCTGCAACAAGAAGTGAAGATGATGGACTTGAGCATTGCCGACAGCAACAACGGTAGTTTGATCTGGCCTAAGGGTTAGAGTCGGTTGAATTTTGCTGAGCTAGACGGCTGTAGTGAGTTGCAAAACCGGCGAATAACAAAAGGTTGGTTGGCAATGCCAGTGATGGTTGGGATGCAACACGGTATCTAGGGTCTCAAGTTTTGCTAGATCTGAGATGTTTCTACCTGAATCTCATCCATATAGCACTATGTTGGGGCGGGGGGCTTCTATCTGATAGTCTGATACTAGATGAGTTGGCAAGCAAAAACTCTAGGGGCCTGGTTTTGAATCGAATGGATCTATATGATGATATGGGCAAAGTTGAGTAAGAGCAAGTTAGAGGTGAATCCGTGAATGGATCATGGATGAAGAATGCATGTTAGGGCTGCGTTTCAAGATCGATCCAGTGCGGTTCTTGGTGTGACAGGGCTCATCATGCAGTAGAAGATCAAAGCTTAGTTTTCTATTCTTTGCTCTTATGTATTGTTTACTTTGTTATTTCTCACTTCTAAGATACAATGTAAGTATTTTTATTCCATTTAGCAATTCAAAGCTATGGATTATCATGTCCTCAGTGGCAAACATCTTATCGATTATCGATAGCACCGTAGTACGTTTTTTAAGCTCTTACTATCGCTGTAATTTTTAAAACTTTCTTAATTGACATTGTCCTTTCGACTAATCCTCGTAAACTGTGTTCCGTCGTTAATCATCCATCGAGAATGCGCCCTTACCACGTGATCTGGCGACGTCCTCTCTTAGATTTTTAGCACAGGCAAAAAAAACTCTTTAGCACATGATTAATTAAGATTAATAATTATAAACTTAAAAATAGATTTATTTGAATTTTTTAAACAACTTCTATACAGAAAACTTTTTTAAAAAACACAGTTTCAAAGTGTGTTAATGAAAAACAATGAAGTTTAAGTTTGGAGTTGAAGAAAAAGATCTGAGCCTTAAGACACTAACACAAACTAACATGTCTGTCCTAGAAGGGGTTAGGTTGAGTTTTTTTTGGACGGAGGAAGTAGATAACATAAATCAACACATTTATTATCTAGCTACATAAATGTGAATCTAGACTTTCGTTGTCTTAGGAGGGGTCAGATTGAGTTTTTTTTGGACGGAGGGAGTAGATAACATAAATCAACACATTTATCTAGCTCCAGCCTATATATTTCTGAACAACATCAATATTTTACCAAATAAAAAAAGAAAAATATGAATTATTCTGAAACTAAACCAAAAGGATCCAAATTTTAATGTGCACGTGAATCGTGAATCACTAACGCGTAAATATACTTCAAAAACCACTGTTACGTACAACATTTTTCCTGTACAGTTGCAGGACAACAGCTATGGCAAGCAAATCAACCGGAGGATTTTACATTTTTACGACGACAAAAAGATATACAGTTGCTGGACAGCAGCTATGGTGAGCAAACCAACAGGAGTATATACGAGAAGACCTTATAGAAATATGACAAATTGGACATAGAAATGAAATATCGTCTTTCCCATAGCAACTGGATTAGAGTTGAACATGGTATCATGTAATTTATATGAATAGCACGCATCCATAAACATCTTGCTGTCAAGATACTCGTAACTCGGACCCAAAACGTTCCAACTCGTCCTACTCATGGACTACATTTCGTGTTCTCGATAAAAGCGAGATCCGAACAGACCTGATCCAAAAGCCAACCTGCGACTCTAAGCAGAAACCATACACAAACAAATAAATAATAACAAGTGAACGCCCAATAGGTAAAGATGACCCTGACATCTTCCGACTCTGCCCAAATGTTCTCAACATAGCTCATGGCTAACGACTTTTAACTTCCATAGACGGGAAGCACTGACAAACTTACCCTTCCCACCGAGCACTAGTGTTCTGGAGGTAACACACTGCTGATTACTCTGAGGTGGCAGCTGATTTGGTGTCAGTCTCCTTGACTGCTTCGGTCGATTCCTCCTTTGTCGCCACTTCCTCAGACTTCTTTTCAGTTACGCTGAGTTTCTCCAGAAGGCCAGCGGCAGACGAATCTTCCTCGGTTTCTTTGCCTTCTGTCTTTGCAAGTGATTCCGAAATCTCTTCAACCAAATCCTTAAATTTCTTGCAATCTAGGAATTATATGATAGGAATCTTAGTCAGTTAAATTCAGATAGTTTTCAGAAGATTCAAATAACAGAATGAAATATGTGCAACAAATGGAACATAGTAGATGAAGAGGATGCTGCTCATGCAGATGCTACTAGACATAATGTTGTAGCTACATAATAATAAACACGTTCATTACTAATGGCAAAAATTATATTGTACTATTCAAGAAAAAGATGCCCCCACAAACACATGAAAGTTACAAAGTTCACTACTTCACCTTTACAGACAAGGAATGAAAGAATGTAATCTGTAACGACTGCTAAAAATGTGTTAACACAAAGAAAGCCTATTTTTTCTACCACAACAGTGTGTACCTAAATCATTCTACCGCAATAGTGCCTAAAGAAGCCAATGGCCAGCAAGAGCAAACAACCTGTGTTCTACCACAACAGTGTGCACCTGGATAGCTACACAAAAATATACATTGGGAATTATACATATCAAGTGTACTTTACCACATACTTCCTCCGTTTATTCTAGCATTTCCCACATTCATGTTGATGTTAATTAATCTAGATGGATATATATATCTAGATTCATTAACATCAATATGAATGTGGCAAATATTAGAATGACTTACATTGTGAAACGGAGGGAGTAAAAAACAAAACATGAGGTAAACAGAATGTTAAATATCATGGACCAGTCTAGTTCATTATTATTCTGTACATTTTAAGTTTCAGTAAGATTGTTCTCCACATGACTAGCAAGTAGCAACATAAACAGAGAGACATCATGGTGTCCCATCTCCAGTTTACCTCATAGGGTCTAATAACAGAATCTTAAAATTGAACATGACAAATCTCAATAATTATTAAGGTAAAAATTAGATGAAAACTGTAATGACAGGGAAGACCAGGGGAATTGGTGCCCCTATGTTATCCCACCCATCCGATCCAAAGCGTGCGAAAATCCTTCAAGGTTAGCTATCCAACACTCCTCATAGAAACATCATATGAAACAACCAATAGATTCACAAGTACCCCCAATTCAACATGTTCTTAAGCACAACTTTGGTTAAGCAAAAATTGCAACCCATCAACGTTCAACGGAATCTCAGATAGGAAAACTACTATTGCCACCATGAACAAAAGCAAACGGCATGATCCAACATAATACTACCAAGCAAGGATAACCACACTACATAGTAGATACGACTACAACAGAACAAATTAGCCCAGAGACGACGGGAGCGAACAACTCACTTTCGACAGAGCCAAACCGGATTGCGAACATCTCCTCCTTAAGCTCGCCGTCGGCGAAGTCCGCCGCGTGCCAGACGCACGACTTGTCACTGCCCGCATGCTCCTGCATCTTCGTGGTCGAAGCAACTGCACACAAGACGACACAAAGCCTTAGCAACGAGGTTATTGGGCCACATGAATCTATACTACACAGGCACCGCGATTGCAACATCTGTAACCAATCCTCCCCCGAAGAGAAGAGAGAGAGAGAGAGAGAGAGAGAGAGAGAGAGAGGCGGGGAAATTCGGAGGAGGAAATTAGTTTGGGGAGAAACCTAGGTGGTTCGCGCAGATCTTGAGCGTCTTGGCCTGGCGCATGACGAGGCGGACCTTGCCGTTCTCCTTGTGCTTGAGGAGCTTGACGGTGCCCGTCCCCCGCTCCTTCCACTGGTTCCCCTCCTTGTCAAACCGGTAAAGCTTCGCCTTCCTGCAAACAATCGCGCGGATCAGCGCCACCAGATCGAACCGAAAAAAAGCACACGAGCTACAAGAGAGGGGAGAAGAGGAGAGAGAGCAAGCGGCGGCGGCGGGGGGGGCTCACATGTCGAGGAGCACGTCCTCGTCCTCCTCGCCGGTGGTGACGGCGACCTCCTCGAGCCGCACGATGGGGGCGACCTGGGCGCCCGTGTCCTCCTCCTCGCCGCCCGCGGCGGCGGCGGCGGCGGAGGCCTCCTCCTCGTCCTCGGGGCGGTCCACGACGGGCTCCTTGTCCGCCATCGGAGGAGAAGAGCTAACGTCTGCTGCTCTCGGTTCCAGAAGTTTCGGGGAGGAGGGCGATCGTGGGGGGAGAGGTTGGTGGTAAGAAGGAGGAGGAGGGGGCGGCGCGCTAGGGTTTTTGTTAGCCACGGGAGAGGCGCCGCCACCGCCAGCGGTGGTGGGGTGGGGCCCGGTTGGAGCGGGGAGGGTGGGGCCACGGCTGCTGTGGGTCCCGCCAGGTGGTCTGCGTGTTACCTACGCCGGCCCGGGGCTAAAAAAAACAACTGTACTAATTTCCCTTGTTTTTGTAATTTTTGTTAGGCCCTCCGTAATAAAAATAATAATTATAACTTACTCATTTTTTTAATTTCTTTAAGAATAAATTTCATAAAACCCTATCTATCTATTATGATCCAAGTTAGACAAAATCACATGGATTTTGGTACGTGGCATGTAACATTAGATATTATGGTCCTAAAGTCTCATATATCAAATTGACGTACTCCTATATCAAAATTTGAGATGTGGTTGTAGAACTCAAAAGCATGGTAAATCAAAGTTAAAATGATTAATATTGTGGTTTTGTGAAACTTTATGGCCATAATACCTGGAGTTATATGTAACGTGTCAAAAACTCCTGTGGTTTTGTGCAATTTAGACATAATATTTGGGTCTATGTGAAATTTATTCTTTTTTTATAAATGGTAATGAAATATTGTTTTTCCTACAATCAATCTTTATTCTAATTTCTTGTCCATTGTAATCCCAACCATTTATCTAAGTAGCTTTCTTTCCATGTAATGTAATTTCAAAAGCTAGCATTATATCTTTTGAGACAGAGGTAGTACTCCCACTATCAATAGAAAACAAACTTCTAGCTAAGTATGGATATAAATTAGATACATAGTCAGTAGTTGATTTTATAGGACGAAGGGAGTATCATATACTCCGTAGTAAACATTTGTCTATCTCTTTTTCATATTACAAGTTATTTTGACTCTCTTGAAGTCTAAATTATATAAGTTTGGCCAAATTTGTAATAAAATGTAGCAATTTTTAATAGCAAATAACATAAAACTATAAAACTAAAATATATTCAATGTTCGATTTAATGGAACATTGTAAGAGTTGCTACATTATTCGATAAACTTGGTAAGCAGTTTGATTTAGAAAAAAAATCAAAAGCCTCTTATAATATAAAACAGATGGAGTATATCACTGTATTCCATTTAAATATCGTGGGATGGAGGTATACTCTGTAACACTTAACACTTAGCTTTATTATTTACCAAAAATCTATGTAGATTCTGAACTTTAGAGCATAATAAATAATGGTCTAGATCATCGCTACCAATACGATACTTAGAAGTATATGATGGTAAGGTAAGCAGATATTTAGAAACGCAAAGCAATGGCTAATTTTGACCACTCCATGGCACTAATGTTTCCGCTTGAGCTTTATATTAATATTAATAGAACCATTCAATACAGATTCAAATTATAAATTTGGAGCGCTCCTCGTATTTATAAGATTCAGATATCGTTTGTTTTGGCTATTGGAATGACCTTCTCTTTTGGTTTGTTTATCGTGAGTCTCAAGCTGCTAGACAATACTTCACCCGCTCTAAAATATAGTACTACGTAATTTTTAGAGTTGAGCACAATTATTAAGGAGGCGGGTAAAAACAATTATACTACCCCGCATTAATATGTCTTGGCTTAGTATAGAAAACAAGGCAAGGGTAGGATTTGTATATTACATAGTAAAAAGTGCACTTTTGAAGCTAGGTGTTATTTTGGGACATATTTTAGAACTTAGAAGTTTGCTATATTTTGAGATGGAGAGTGTATTTTTTTAAAAAAAAACTTTATAGAAGTTATTCTTAGAAACCAAATGAATCCAATTTGTATATTTATAATACACTTATTTGATCATGCGCTAATCACATGTCGCACTTCCCATATCACTAAGTACCTCAACCAATGTTCAATTCCAACGTTCGATAATCGAACAAAAAAAATAATTTTATGAAGTAGTATATTAGTGTGTGTGGTAAAGTGGGACACAACGGCAAATTGACAGTTGTTTCGTCACTTTATATAGAAATATTTCATCACTAGACAAAATTGTAGCAAAAAATACAACATTGCCTAAACATAGTTGAGACATTTTCCTATCATCGGCGAAACATCAAAAACAAACATCAAAAGAATCGTAAAATCGTAAAATTGTACATATTTCAAACAAATGCAACATCGTTTTACCTCCAGTTAAAACCTTTTTCAAACACATGTGAAACATCAAGATATATTAGCTCAACCATAAAAAAAAATCAAAAAATATACCTACTTAGTCTAGCTTCTTCCTTATCTTCAGTGACTAAATCTCTGGCTTCTCCTTCTGAGCCAACCACCCAACAGTGACAAGAAATCGGTCTCCTCCCTTCCACACTAGAGAAGAAAGGCATGCCACATCGCTATAGCTTGTACCGCTATTGGCTGATGCGAGCCCACACCATGACAACGAGCACCTTGGCCACACCAGCATATCTTCGACAAGCTCCCATGCCTGATTTCCCACACCAAGCGCTAGTTGGTGACCTCTCTTGCTCCCCTACACCATAGTGACATACACCATAGTGACACATTCTACCATAGTGACACATTCTAGTATAACGAATCTGAACAGAGAGAGTAGCTTTGTGGTGGAACAGAGGAAATGGGGAAATGGGAAAAAAAAAGGGCCACCAACAGTAGAGGGCCCAATAGAAAGAACCAGACATTGGGACGGCCGCGAAGCATTTTCGGGTGAAGTGTGGAATTTTTTTTATTTATACATTTTTTATTAAAATATTTACAAAATTAATTTTTTGTTTCGAAAATTTATAAATCTAATCGCCTGCCGCCCTTTGGGAGGGCGATTTTTAAAAATCGCCCTTCCAGAGGGCGGCAAGGGACCTAAATGCAAAATTTTTATTTGTGTTCAAACCCTTTCCATCGGTTTTAATTGCTTAAAAATTAATAATGCTTATTCGATACTCTAAATGATTTTAAATGGAAAAGTGATAAACTACAAAGTTATAGATCTCATTAAGATCTACAACTTTTATATAAAGTTTATCTCCATTCAATATTGTTTGAAATGTAGATCTGAGATTTTTTAAAATATGTTTTATATTTTGTAACGAATATTTGGATATCTAAAACATATTAAATGAAAAAGTTGTTAACTACAAAGTTGTAGATCTCCTTGAGCTCTACAATTTTAATATAAAGTTTTATTTCATCTGACTTTATATAATATAATTTTAAATTGTAAAATCATAGAGCTAACAAGTTGTGTTGGAAAATTTGCATTTAGATCCCTTGCCGCCCTTTGGCCCTCCCAGAGGGCGGCACGCGATTAGATTTGTAAATTTTTGAAATATAAAAATTATTTTTGTAAATATTTTAATAAAAAAAATGTATAAATAAAAAAATTTCGTGAAGTGTGTACCTGCACTACATGGGTTGACAAATTCGTACGAGGGTGTGAGATTGTATTCTAGTGGGGAAGAAAGATTAACATGTGAAATAGATTCTGTTTAGTTATCTACCAGCATAAGGACGATGTTTAGTTATCCACCAGCATAAGGACGACCATTGGTAGCGGTTCCTAAACGGTTACTGATGACTTATTAGCCGTTTAGGGAAGTCCCTCCCTTCGTCGAATACATGCAAGAAATGAATGGCAAAGCCTCTTGTTCCAAAAGAAAAGATGAACATAGAATTGGTATGTATGGTTGTCTGAGCTACTGACGTTCTTCAATCCAAAAGAAAAGATGATGAAAGAATTATGCCCGTCTCAACTAGATCAACGGACTCCTCGTCAGTCCTAAAGAGAAAATTAAACAATTACCTATGCAATATCTAAAAAATTGCACTTAACACTTTTCAACTAAGTGATTTTTTCCGACAGCGTCTTGACAAGTGACAACTCGTGTGAATTCATAAACAAAATAACGCAAATACTGAAATAGATAAAGCACCTATCATTTGCATCGAATACCATTAGCAATTACTTCATCACATTATTTGAAGCTGCAGCCACCTCTATGTACCAAAATACCGGACATCGCACCATACCTCGACAGTAGATTTAACTCATAGTTAGGCAGCACAGAAGGCCAACAATCACACACATCATAGGTAATCATCATTTTGTGCTTTCATGTGACAATGAGTGTGCAGCAGGACGGATCATTTCCCAGGAAGTTTGAAAAAGTACTCGATTTTCCACAACTGAATGTGATATAATAGCATCAGATGCAGTGGAGCAAGTACAAAACTAACGGAAGCAATTCAAAAGAACAATCAGTTATTCTTTGTTTGCATCATTTGAACCCTCCTCCATAGGCACTGCTTCTGCTGCATCTCCTTTCTTACCTGTAGATGACAAAATGGTAGTTAGGTGAGTTGAAGGTTCCATCCAGGTGAGGCAACTTAAATACAAAAAAACCAGTAAAATTGTGTTACAAAGAACAGGACAAACCTTTCTTCTTTTTTGCACCACTTTTCTTCTTTGTTTTTGTCCCCAAAGCAAGCCATGCCTTGATCTCAGCGTTGTCTTCAATGGATTTAGTGGGCTGCAACTCCTGAAGTGAATGCGATGTTACCCTCTGTGAACCAGATGGCAGCAGAAGCACAGTAAACTTGATGTGTGCAACAAGGTCGCCTGCACAAACAACCAACTATTAATACAACCACTAGAAACGAGAAATATGGCATGTAGCAGTAATCAACAGAAGCGGTTTGTACAAATAAACACAAATAATCTCAAAAGGAGGATACAGATTTGTACTCGCCCCAAGGCTTATCTCATAAAAACAAGGCAGAACAATTGCCAAAATTCTACAGTATTCAACACCTAGAGCGATGATATGTGTACCTGGCTTCTCGTGAAGGACAGGGTACGGCTGCAATAATTCATGATTCATGCATTCCACCAAACCTAAGCGTGCACGCTTCTCTTCCAATGCCCTGTGACAATTCAAAATGCATGTTACAATATAGTAAACAAAAAGGTGCGTCTGAAGTAAGCGTTATTGTAGCAACCTAGCAGTGAAGGGCATGATAGGAAACTTCTGGCTTATCTCACTGAAAATGAACCTAGATGCT